ATTTAAAAAGCATTAAAAATAACGTAATTATTATTTACATTAGAGAATATTTATAAAAAACATAAAATAAAAAATTAGGAGTTATATATTTAATTTAACGTTTTAAGTAATATTGAGAAAGTCATAAGAGCATATAAGTAAAGAAACATAATACATTTATTGTAATACAATTAAAAACAAATTGGCAAAATAGTGAATACTATTAATATAAACAGCAAAGTTTACAAATAGACTTGAAATTTTGATGTTTAATATTATAATTAAATATTTAATTAATCTATATGGCTTTGATGATTAAAAAAGCACATATTATAATTATATTAAATTTTTTAATTGAAACATTAGTGGAATTAATGGATAAGTAATCTGATATAATCATATTTGATTTGCTATTATTAATAAATAAGATGTTCTATTGACTTTTTAAGAAATAATATTGATTTATTAAATACATTTTTTATGCTGGCTTTAATAACTCATCCCTGTTTAGGAATCACTTTTATTATGTCAAAAAGGAAAAGTAAATAAGATCAACATTTAAATAATCTTAAGCTTCCTTACAATGTTCTTTTTATTCATAGTAATGAATCGAATACTTGGTGAAAAATAAAAAGCTATATAGAAAATGTAACTAATGTACAACATATCGATATGCTCTAACGGTCGATAGATCTAATTTATTTATAGTTGATCATTGATAAGTGTAGTAAAGATAAAGGCCTTAATGTTTGCTAGGATAACTATCAAGACCGAGAGAGACCTTCTTAATCTATATATAATCTAAACTTGATACACACATTAGTATATATAATAAAAATAACCGATATCGGAAAAAATAACATACCGGATTAAATTCCGATATCTAATATTATACATTTTCTTGCCACGCATGTAAATGAATAAAAATAGAATCATACTGTGCCAGATATATAAGAAAATTAAAATAATATTATAAACTTATTGTTAGAAAAGAATGTTAAAGTAAAACGTTATTTAAATATATAAGGAATATCTCTACATCTTTTATATTATATTAAAATGATAGCAGTTTTGATATACCGTTAAAATAGTGTAATTGTTTTTAAAATATATAAATATTTGTATGTAAATATTTTCTCTCTCTCTCTCTCTCTCTCTCTCTCTCTCTCTCTCTCTCTCTCTCTCTCTCTCTTTCTATTTTTATGTGTATATCTCTAAATATCTATCTTTTTACCACAGAAGTTGTCATTTGCACGCTATCTAGCCGTAACAGACGCATTTGATACCGTCGTAAAACCGACGGGTAAATTTATAACGACATTATACCCGTAACCGACCGTCGAGAGAGAAGAGGAAAGACACTCTGTGTGGATCCTTACCCTCTCAGAGAGCGGAGAGAAATTCGCGATTTAACACACATTGATCTGCCGTTGGCGAGTGCGCACTGCGAGGTGCCGCGCCGCGCCGCTCCGGCTACGGAGATTTCAGCGTGTCACCCCGTATAAAACCGTGACCGGGGTCACGGCGCGATACCAACAGGTGATGCCGAGGAAGGAGGAGGACACTCCCTCGAGCAGCATCTCGTCGAGCGTCTCTCCCTCGGGTACCACCGACCGCGACGATGGTGATTTAGTATCATTCTCTCGAGCCTATCGTTTATCCTGTACCCCACAGATTTTGCTGACTACCACCAGGATCCGTCTACAAGGGCTGCGAGGATAAACGCGCAAGGATCGACAGTCCTCTCTGACGCGCACCAATGAAATACAGGAGGGAAATCGAGTGAAAAACAGTGTCGGTGAGAGACAAAAAAGTTTCGATCGGTCGATGATTTAGTGGATAGACTGTTTAATAGTGTTCCTCGGGATTCTTCCCGCGCGTTCATTCTACTCACAAGAGCATCGGAATCGGGATGTAGAGTTAAGCAGTTGACACGAGCGCGGGATCGACTCGCGACGTACGATGATCGAGTGTTCTCTTCAATGCGCTGGATTTTGACAAGGTGAGCGATTTTCAGATCTTTAGCGGAAAACGAAAGGCGATCTTAAAATATGCATACAATGCAACAATAGCTGGATTGATAAATCTTCGCAATCTTTATAATACTCCAATTATTCTCTATTTCAATTAACTCAATTACTAAAAATTCTACGTGAAAGTTGTTTAAATTTAAAAATCTGATTTGTCTCGTTGAAATATTCCTCTCCTGATTCGAATTGTTGCGTATGATGGACATTTATCAGATAGAAATATCAATTATGTAAATAAAGAATGAATTTTTGGGGAAATCTTACAGTAATTTGGAGAAGTAATTAAAAACAAATTCTCTCATAGAGAAAATTCTCTCCGTGTAGAGATAAACACGAATATAATGAGAGAATTACGAAGACGGGATTGAAACAAACGGCGCAGATATAAGATATCGACACAATAAGAAAAATATAAGGACCTTACCAAGAGATGGAGATATTTTGTTGATAAAAATATAGCATTTTATGGGGAAACATATAAAGAAATCCGAAAAACGGATTGCAGTCAGATAGAATATTTTATTGTTCAACGGACTGCACTTCGTTTTATATACGGGCATCTAACGGACATCTTCACTTTATATATATACAATCTCTCTCATTGATTTCCTCTTGTCACACTCAGAGTCCGATTGCACCTGATTTATACTCTGATTTATTAATAACCGAATTCCGATTTTAGTGCAATTTTTCTCTTCGGTTCGCTGGCCCCGATATCGAATATATAATCTAACCGATAAGATATTCTGAAGATTAATCGAAGTGCTTCTCTTCGTTGTAGTTACATTTTTAACAAGCAAAGATGAAAATATCGTAACTTTAAGTGAGTATGAATCGATATAAAATGGAATAAATTAAATATAATATACCAACGATTCGTTATGTATTGCAAATTCTACAACCGAGAAAACATTTTGTAGAAAACGATTTATGAAAATCGCATTACATAGTCAGTCACAATATTACATTAAACAATTTATATCACTATCTGAAAAGCGTCATGTCTTTAGAAGTTGACAGTTTAATTATATCGCGGAAAATAATGAAAGTAAAATGACGAGGCGCAAGAGACATGGCACGAATACGAATCGCCTTGAATATCATCATGTTTTCTTAATTTATCCTCCCCGCGTGTGTACGTAACACGTGTCGGAATAAAAATAAAACCATGTCGATGCTCTCGATACGGTGTCGAAAATTTTCAAGTTTATCGAGCCATCTTGTCGAATTGTGCACATTAAAATCTTTACCATGAGATAACTCGATAGCACCGCATAAAATATTAGTAGCGAAACGTTAAAGCGAAACAGTCATCCCGTTAATCCCAATAAAGCTTTGATTCGCGTATCTGACTCATCGGTGAAGAAGAAAACCAGAGGTAGACGATCATAATTAATTGTCGAGCTTGGTTCTTTGAAGGCGAAACACGGAATACGGATGGGATGTTGTAGCAACGGAGAAAAAGCAGAAGAGAAGAAAAAACTTTATGTGAATTGCAATATATAATTTAAATAATATTTTAAATAGCTTCTCTCTTCAAATGTTTTGAACGCGTATACTCGTCTACAAAAACAAAATGTGATGCACATAAATAGCAGAAAGATACCTTTATATACTATTCTAGAGCATAATATATAAAGGTATGTAGAGTAGATGTATGAAAATGGCAAGATAAATGATGAAATACTCGTGCGTGACTACGCGAGGACTCTGCATCAAGAAGATTGCGTTACGAAGAGTAATTAAAAATGCAAATTCAAGTGGCGGAGTAATAGCGACTCGTTAAATCTCTCGCTTATACGTATACTTTCATATTCTCTAAGGTAATACTCGCGAAATTTAAATGATATCATATGTTAAATATATTAACTAAAAAAACAAGCATAGAGATAAAAATAATTCTCTAGAGTATATCATAAGTAACGCACTCTCTTTTTTATTAAATGTTAATTTCTTTTACGAATCTGTTAATAATGTTGATCGTGACAATAAATTTACTATCATTAATTACAAAAGCACTTAGTTTTCCAATTAATTCCAAATATAAGTTTTATTTTAATGTAAATTTCACATTTGAGACTTTATTATTTATTATATATGGCAAAAAAATATCCGACATTGATTACATCGATATCCATAACGGCGTAGGTCGCATTAGAAGCTTTTTTATCCCATTCTTTTCGTGAACACTCAGCGTTTACCTGGTTTGCTTCAACATACCTCAAAGGATTAAATATAGACCGCGACCTCCCCATATATGATATTTGCGCGATATTAAGAAATAACGATATAAGACTCGATATAAGACTCGATATATCGGATGCGTTTATTAAATCTATAAAAATGTAATATTGTATTTATTACATTATCTGTACGCAATTAATATTCATTCGCAAAAGTTTTGTGTAATATATTGAAAACATAATTAACATCCCATAATATATTAAAAAGAAACGTCGGAAAAATATTGTTCGTAATAAAAATATTCTGGAATATTGACTGGGCGTTGCGAAAAACGTTTCACGTGCGCGTCGCAGATGATTTCAGACGCCAGAGTAATATCAAACAAGTCATCATAAAATCATTATGAGTTCAACATAAATCTCACGTAGCAATTGTCTAAAAAATGATTGGAGAACTCGCGAAAACCCGATATTTCCTCACGATACATTGTTTAAACAAGCTTTACGCGATATATCGAAAACCGGGCTTTAATTGAACAAGGAAGAACATACAGCATATAACGAAAGGTCGTGGTTATGCAAATGGAACTGGCCGAGTCGGTTGTTATGGTAACCGACCCTCTGTACAAGGATCGAAATCCATTATTTATCTCGGTAACGTAGCGCTCGGTTTCGTGACGAGTGCAAGAATACAGGTGTCAGATGTTAATAATTATGTTAGATATAGATAAACCGCGCGAAATCGCTTCGAAAATATATAGCATTGCTGAAATCGCGGATAATTCGATCAGAAACGTAAATCACGCTCTCGTAAAAACGGTGGCTATAAATTAATATTTTCTCGTTTTAACCCAAATGATTTGATATATATGTATTATATATATTAGATAGAAGAATAGAAAAAAATGGCAAATTTAATTTTATCCATGTAAAAAGTGCTTGAGTGAGTTGGGCCTAAGTTTATTGCGTTCTATTTTTGCTTCTAATATGTGTATGCCTATAATTAAAATTCTTAATTTGACTAAAACGCGAATAACAGAAAACTTTGGTCAATTTTAAAAAGTGGAAATTGTGTATGTATGTAAATTAAAAATATATTTAAAACTAACTATAAAATTGTAAAAAAATATGTACGTTATTATTATAGTCGCATACTCTAACAAATACGGATCCGATTTTTGTTTCATAGAAATTTAATAGAAGATACTTTGTTAATATGATAATCAAATGTAACGGACTAGTATATTGAGATCATTAAATATCAAATTTAATTTTTATTAAAATCCAGTCGAAACTAATTACAAGCGCAAGTTTGTAGTTGTCTATATATTAGAAATTTCATTCTTTCAAATCTTTTCATTTTCAGTCGCTTGTAAGAAAATCGATGAAACTCTCAATGAAAAATGTTCTAAGTTTAAACTTTACTATTTATCTTAAACTTTACTATGTATCTGAAAGGTTGTATATAATAGAGAATCCGGAATATATATATCCAGTATTTTTATATAATTTTCACAAAAAGATTTTAATTGAATAAATATATCGTGCAACAAATCTCATCAAAAATATTTAATTTAAAGCATATCAAAATATAAAGTGAAATTTTTTATACAAATTCCTTATGTTTACAAAAAATTACACAATATTTTTAAACAAAAAGATTTTCAATAGTAGTTCTATCGAGATTGTTGATAACGAACAATCTGTGATAACATTTCGCACACATTAAATCAATCCAATTAAAAATCTTGAAACAATGGCGCGCAACATTCTCCTAAATTGTTTATGTCCTAAATTGACTACGATGTGCGGAATGAACTGTGAAAAGCAATCTAATGGAAAGCAGTTTCTTGGAAACCCGTCGGATCGAATCATTCTAAAATAGCCGAGTAGGATTCGTGCAATTTAAGTAGAGTTGTGCACGTGCTGTTATGGATAGACAAGAGCGATTACTAACTATATTATTAAATCACGCGTATTAATTATTCAGCATAAAATTTCATGGTATAACTAATGTGAATAACGATATGCAAATTTCTGCCATCAAAATGCATTATTGAATGTATAATCATGCAATGTATGATCGTTTAAATCACTTCAATTAATTAAATTGTGATAAAAATCTTTTTTTCTACATGCAATACAAACTATACCTTCATAAATGTTTTTTGCAATTCGAAATTAAAAAAAAAAACAAATTGTTTCAACCTGCAGATATATAAATTTCTGCGCACGTTCTCTTATGCGAGAAATAAACTATATAAAAATAAAGGTCTAAAGCTCAGATGTCTCGAATATATTCGCCAAGGAAAAAGACAGACTTTTAAAAACACAGGCACATACTAGTTCGGCATTAGAGACTTGTATAATCGAAAAAGAGGAACTTATTACCGTTAAGAATCTGGTAAAGCGTAAATGGCCAACTTTTGAGACGCAAAGAAGGATTGCGACTGCAACTATAAGGAGGGATTTGAATCGATAGGAAACGCGCGAAGTTTCGACGCTGAAAGACGAAATGCGGGAGGCACAGGCATACGAACAATGCACTTCTGCTGCATCCGCCGTATACGAGAGCAATGCACACCGACGACATAGTCAGATAATAACTCTCACGTATATATTGTGTGCGACAGTCGAGTGACGTATATGTGGCTAGATGACAAAACAATATATAAATGTGTGTCGATGTGTTAGAAAGTACACTCGATGCTCGTTATGCGTGTACGTCAAATTAAAACGCCGACACGGAACGACGCTACGCGACAAACCACAAACAGATAAAAGATCGCGCGCATAATACCGCGAGATGAATTCGGGATTGCTAATTAACGGACTCGCGGTAGAATTATGCTTCACCGTTGCAAAATGAAAATGCTGTTTCAAGTAAAACTATAGACAAAAAGCAGAGATTGTAAATAGAAATAAAAATATCAATTTTTTACTCTTCTCTCTACTTAGCACTATTATAGGAATAGCATCTAGTTTTCTTTTGTTTTTTTTTTTTTTAATTTGTTTCTTCTTTAACAATTAACTTGTCTCTCTTTTTCCTTAATATTTAACACAAATCTTACAGAATTTGGGATCGTATGTTTCTCAGGCATAAGAATCTGGAAAACGTGAGGGTAAGCAATCTAATATATATAATAAAATTTTTCCATTGTGTTGTTACAAAAAAATATCTGCTTTTATGAGTACAGGATGCCACAAGGAAGCATTCAATGGCAGGGGACGCAGAGAAGAGCCTGCGGGCCTGGGGCTAATTGGAACGTACAGGTACACTTTCATCATTTCAAAACTCGAGATCGATATTGAGTACAATATATATATCATATCTTGAAAAGATAAGACTCTTTATCGGCTTCATTAATATAATTATTAGGAAGCAGATCGCCGATGAAAATTAGCTATAGAGAAAGAGAGAGAGAGAGAGAGAGAAAGACCAGTGCTCTAACCCCTGAGCTATGGAGGCTCATGCTGCAGACTTAGGCACCAGAAACTTTAGATAAACGCGCACCGTATAGATCCTTTATACATATGAATATATATATTTTTATATAAAAAAAAGAAAAATATTTTTAGAATATTTTATGACTTTTCTGATTCGCGCACGCACGCAAAGTGACTTTTGAGCAAGACTTTTGAGATTATCTTAAATGATAAATAATAAGATAATTATATATTATATAATTATTATTATCTCATATATAAAAATAATTATGCAACTTTATTGAATCAAATAATCGCTATGCAATAAAATAAGATCTCATATATTTTTGACATATTAAATTTTTGTAATATTTTTTGTATTATTATACTGAATTAAAAAAAAAATTATTCAGTTATATATATAAATCTGTTTTCAAATTTGTGTTGACTTACAATTAGATACATATTCAATTATTAACAATGACAAAATCTAAAATCTGATGACACACGTTTATGTAACTTATACATAAAATTTACATTCTGTCACACACATATCACACATAAATAACGACGCTTGCAGGCTTCATTGTAGTAGCTGCCTGTGTGATGACTTTCGAAGCACGTGACAGTGCGGCTAAGGTGGTACCAGCTCGCTATCGCTTCAATCAAGCATCAACGTTAAAAGGCTCAAAAAGCCAGCGTAATAGAAGATCGACATCGAGCCAGACAACAAGATGGGACCATCAGTTGGGCCTGTTTAAAGTAAATCGTAGCCCGAGTCCCAGCACGCATGAAGTCTCCAGGAAACAATTAACGGCGGAATTCATGCAATTTTCGAAAGATTTACAAGAGAAAGGCGTAGCGCATTCCATAAAGAAGAGCCCGAGTGCGCCTACATTAATCGACAAAAAGTCACCACGCCGAAGATCACCTAAATACACAGGTTGCTCGCTATTAAATCCAGAATTGCTGCAGAGACACGCTCTTTCAGTCGATAATCCGAGCTACAGCCCGCATCAGGTATTCAGCATCTTTCAAAATCTTCACCATTTTGCAAAACAATGATAAAGTCTTTATTTTTAAGGAAGTAAACTTATGATCAATAAAAACTTTTTTCAATAATTAACAGATTAGCAGAGAGAGTCTGGAACATCAAAAGATGAATGGTAGTCAAGTCTCAATGGCGATGGATCTGCACATTCCAAATAAAGGTCCTGTTACGCTCAAAGTGAAGGATCGATCCGATACAGCAAGACGACATCAGCTACTTCGTCAGACAAAAGTAGAAGATGTCGAAGAAGTGGACGAAGCTGCACGACCACCACCGACCTTGGTGCATTCGCCTAAATTGCCAGGTGATTATAAATAAATAATTTTAAACATATGATTATTCGAATATATGAGATCATTATTGTAATCACTAGCAGAGATACTCTAAATGAGAAAATAATTTTGCTAATATTATTCAATTTAAAAACTGTAAAGAAATCTCAAATTCATTCCTTTTATATAAAATATAGAAATACATGCTAAACTTTATTTAAGCAATTAGATTTTAAATCTGATTACATTTATAAACCAAGAATATTATTTTTTATTTAAACCGAAAAAGAAAATTGCCCAAATAAACATTAAAAAAGTTTATAAATAAGGATAAATAATCATAGATATCTCGTTCAGGTGCCTATAGATACCCAGATGATTTCGTGCCAAGAAAAAGAAATTCGATAGATTTGAGATTGTTGGAAGAATTAACGGCAGTATCAAAAGAATTTAGTAAGGCCTCGCCGCGAGACTTCCGAAAAATCTCGTCGCCGAACTTTCGTAAAATGTCCTTCGATAGAATCGGCGGTGATCGTCGCCTCGATCGAGCTTCGTTAGGATATCGTAAAGCTAGTCTCGACTTTAGAAAAAGTCCTGATTTTCGCAGAGGAGATTACAGGTAACAGAAAATTGTATATCAACTTTTACAATAATGATTATCTTATTATTTGTGTTAATAATTCGCATATGTCACTTGCAATTACAATGCTTGCAGTTACAATATTAATATATCCACATATTAGCAGATTTGAATTTATTGTGACTCTATAAGCTATAATAATAAAAATAATATATAATAAATAAAATAATTTCAAAATATATTTAATTGTAAATATATTTATTTGCAAGTATACTTTTTAAGATTGCGCAAATTCGATCGCAATTCGAGGCTTTAAATCGCGGCTTGCTTAGTTTATATATAAAGCTGATCTTTCCTGTAAGCATTGCATTATATAATAAAATATAATCTGTATTAATATATCTAATCATTCTAACGTTTATCAAGGCAAGTGACAAAATCCTTTTTCTAACTAAATTTATAGGAAACTCTCAATAGAAAGATTCAGCGTCGATTGTACCCGCTATATGCTCGACGAGACGGAAATAAAATCACGAACGAGCAGTGGAGAGAACTTACGAAGACAAGCGCGTCAGGCTAAGTTGTATCATTCCAAATCGGATGACAATAGAAGGCGATCCTTCGATAAGCATTCGAAGGATTCTCAATCGAGTCGACATTCATTAAACACTCAAGCTGTTGTGGAAGGTTCCGATTGCGAGCCAAAGTACTTTACGACAGTGTCCCTCGATACTGAAGAAAGCCGTGCCGACAATTCCGACGAGAGTCACGTAGTAGACATCGAGGAAGCGAATGCAGGCGTTTTATCGTGCGACATGCCTACGGAAGCTGACATGCTGCTCGAAGAACCGGAATTGGAAAATGTCACGGAGATCGACATGGAAAGTTCAGTAATTGATGACGAAAAATCTCGCGGATCTCATAGATTGACAAATAAGAGGACAGATACAATGCTACGAGGACAAAATCCCATAATTATTACCGAGGACATAGACTCGCAAATGATAGTTGACGAGAAAACGGTGCAGATGGATAATGAAAAATATGAAACGACTTTGTACATAGAAGACGATGAAGTGTGAAGAATAGAAAAGATTCTTGAGAATTAACAGCGGATTCAGATCATTGTGGGAAAATAATGATGACATTTGCGAAGCAAAAATATTGATATTGTGTGCAACATTGCTGACAATGTTTCTTCGCAAATTGGAAAGGATTATACAAGGATTTAGCGATGGACCGTCGATCGATTGTCTTTGAATGCAATTATGCTCAACAACTTAAGATTTAAACACGGCATAAATAATAACGAGATCACGTACGAATTGCGTTTTGTAACGAGACAATCATTTTTTATCGGCATCTCGCGTTGCCTTTCGCACGAAGGTAACAAGCGTGTAATATTGATGACAAATAATTGTTACCAACAAATTTTGACGTAGATGATAATAGACCTAACATGCGTATATATATATATATATAAAGTAAGATTTGTTAAAATATAAACGCGTGATTAATCATACAGAAGAGATTTTTGTACTTATAACGGGAAAAATGCAACTTTTACTTGTAAATATTTCAAGTTAACTTGTTCGAACGATCATTAATGTGTCAAATCTAATCAGAAAATATCAAAGAAATATATAGCATGATTCAAAGTGAATCTTGAACAATGGGAAATAAACTTAAAATGCAGATTATCCCAGATGCGATGCACTTGTTCTCAGCTCTAAATATTGCAATAAAGAGAAAAAAATGCCTTGTTTTAACGTGACAAGAAAATGTTACAATAATAATTTAATTTTGTAAAAAAAAGCACAAGTAAATAAGGAAATGTTATTTATTGTAGAATTTTAAGTGTATTTTATTTTTTAATCGAATTTTAATTTATTATAAATCTACCAAGGCATTTATGTAGAATAGTATAAAGTATATTGGAAACCCTGTATATGTGCATAATATACACAATTAATATTTGCAAAGAGTGGTTTTAAAAAATTCTTGTGAAGAATATATATTAATCATTTCTACGTGCGTTATTTTACGTAAGATATAAGAAGATTGTATACATTTACTTTTATATGCGCGCGCAATACAAAGCATAATTTTTTTATACAAAAGAATTACTATGATTTGTTCGACGTGAAAATATATTTAAGTTAAAAAATATTTTAAAAAGGTTATGAATCAGTAAAATATATGTTAAGTAACAGAAAGATAAATTAAAGATATTTTTGATGTTAATATTATACATTATCTTTTTCTGTATACATTTGTAACTCCGTACATGCATATAGATATTATATATATTTCATTATATCTGAATTATTTCATTATTTCATTAATTCATTCATGTGTTTAATAAACATCATTTTTTTGAAAAAATTAACGAAATAATTTCGTAACAAGATTTAAAAACCTTTAGACATATGACCTACATGTGAGAGATGTGATTGTAAAAATT